TATTAACAACATCAACATAACGGCTGTGATATTATCTTGCATCACTATCTTAGCTCTTATTTTTAACAACGAAGTTCTTAAGGTTTGTTATATTAAATTAAGGTTAATTATGCTTTTTAAATAAACGAGGTCAAAAGTATCCGACTTCTACGTATATTATTCTCCTTGGGTATCTTCTCTCTCTCTCTCTCTCTCTCTCTCTCTCTCTCGTGGAAAAGACATTCTGTACTTAGGTCCTTCCTGAGGTCCCTCTTAAATACTGAATGCCTCTTTTCTATAACAAAGAAAAAAGAGAGAGGAGGGGGGAGGGGAGAGAGAGATGCCCAAGAACAAAAATATACGCAGAGGTCGGACACTTCTAGAACAGATCTCATACATTTTATATAAAAAAGCCATTTGAAAATTTATAAAATTAATTACATCTGCGTTTTCTAAAAAGAAATATTCTGGATTTCAGCCAAGAGTTTCAAAGTTATGCCCCTTTCCAATTCCGATAGAAATGTTTGCAGTGGTAATCGGTACTCTGATATCGATGCAAATGAATCTTGCGGACACTTACAACGTAATAACAGTTGGCGATATACCAGTAGGGTAAATGTGTAATTAAAATTAGTATTCGATTAACTCATACAGCTTGCAAAAAATGTTTTGTTATAAAAATATTAACTTTTCTATAACTAAGTTGAAATGAATTTATTAAATTAATTTTCGGTTAACTCATTATATAGAAAATATGTTTTTAATAAAACTATAACAAATTGTGAAAGTAAAATAGAGCAATTTTAAATTACTGTAATATTAAAGTTTTTAATTCAATTTTCCAGACTGCCGGTCCCATCTGTACCACCGTTGTCACTTGTACCCAACGTTTTAGTAGATAGTTTCGTGATTACAATGGTTGCTTATACAATATCAATGTCTATGGCATTGATTTTCGCGCAAAAGGAAGGCTATGAAGTCGACTCTAATCAAGAATTGATTGCGCAGGTTTATATAATATTTTTAAATATGTATAATAAATACGCTTATATCGCTTTGTATGCTCTTAATATATACACCTATAAAAATATATCAATTCTATACAATTTTACAGGGACTGGGAAATCTTGTAGGCTCTTTTTTCTCCTGCATGCCTATCACGGCTTCATTATCCAGATCATTGATTCAACAAACTGTAGGTGGACATACACAGTTGGCGAGTTTGATATCATGTGGAATTTTGATGAGCGTATTACTGTGGATCGGGCCATTTTTTCAACCTTTGCCACGAGTAATTATTCTTTTTATCGTTTCTATCTTATAATATAAGCGTCAGATGATGATAAAATGCATTTGATGCTTGTGAGATGCGCAGTGTGTTCTAGCAAGTATAATCGTGGTGGCGTTAAAAGGGATGCTGATAAAGGTCAATGAATTTATCAAGTTCTGGAAATTGGACAAGATGGATGCCGGCATTTGGATTGTCACGTTCATTATCGTGATTCTTTTCGATATTGAGTATGGATTATTGGTCGGTATACTTCTGTGTATAGGAAGGTTACTTATCCTTGCAACGCGACCTTATACGTGTAAGCTCGCTTTAGCACCCGGCACTGAGCTCTACTTGGATTCCAAGAGATACAAAGGAGTACGAAGAATTTTTAATTAAAAAAAAAAAACTTTTTTTTCTCATTAATCTATTATAATGTACATAGGGCGGCGCACGAAATGTCACATTAATTATTGCATTAAAATTATACTTGTAAAATATTTTTCAATTATGTGAACAAATTCTGTATCTACTTCATGGAAATTCTGTTAGATGTGACATCATGAGTCAAAATTGGGTGGAGGTAAAGGCATTAGTTTGTGAAATGCAAAGTTGCACACGAATTATCATACTATTTATTTTACATATAACATTATTTTGCTTTATAATCTTTTGGAGATGCACTCTTATGTTTGATTTTTGCAACACAAATCTTCAAATAATACATGGCATAATTGCACGAGTCTCTACCACAATTTCTGTTTCCACGAAAAACAATACAGCTATTTCTTTATGTTTAACATTTTAGGTCAATCGTCCGTCGGCCGCTATTTCACTCAGTTTCAATTCGTAATGTCATACAACAGAAGAAGTACAGAATTTGTGTTCACACAATTAAAAAATGGATACTTCAGAAGTATAGTTTTAATAAATAAAATGGCATGATATTTTGTGCGCCATCCAATATCATAAGTATTTATTCTCTTAGAAATAGTAATTTTTTTAAATTTCACAATTATATAGAATTTTTGGTAAATCATTAGAATAGCAAATTAAGAATAAAAATTACTGTTAACTCTAATCAGAAAATAAATATTTAATAAATATTCCAGACTGTAGAGATTCCCGGCATCAAAATCTTCCACTATTCCGGTAGTTTGAATTTCGCATCTAAACAATACTTTCGTGAGGAAGTGCATAAGGTTGCGGAGCTAGTACCTCAAAAGGAATTTAAAAAGCAACTACAAGTTACATACAACAGTACCATAGTGGAGGAAATTAAAAAGGTAAATAATATTCAATTTATACTTTTGAAACTATCCGCATAGGAGAATATTCGCTGCGATATATTAATTTAATATAATTGATATAATTGATAATTGATTATATTGCATTTGTTTAATATCTCATCTATAGTCTCGTTATTCGATCTTTATAGTTACGTATTCTTGTACTGGATTTTACTGCATTGTCACATATCGATCTGGCAGGCGCGAATGCAGTGCGAAACATTGTTGATGAATATTGTGGCGTAGAAGTATCTGTTTATATAGCAGGTTGTTCCGGTAAGTATATTTAATCTTTAATATAAAATTTTATTTATATAATTTCTTTCTTAATTAATATCTACTCGTAAATTTAATTCGTGATGCAGTATGTAATCAGAAAATAGAATCAATGGTCATTAATTACTATGTATAATGTTATTTACTCTACATTGTAATATTTTCATCTCTTCAACGATTGATTTTTTTTTACAATTTTTTTTTACGATTTTGTAAATATATAAAAATTAATCTTACAATTTTTGTATTTCAATTGTTCTTATAAAAATCTGTATCTACTGAAATGTCAATATCTTCAGTAGGAAAGATTACAGATGAATTAATCTTTAATAAAAATTAATATATTGATTACAGGTCCTGTATATGAAACATTGAGAAAGTTTAATCTGGTCGAGCATAACGAGAATCACTTTTTCGCCATATTCCCTACTATTGCTGATGCGGTACATTTTGCGCGTTCTCACAGTGAAGTGCCGTCGACATGGAACACTTGTAGCCACGACGAGAACTACATCAGCAGACTTTGAAACTCGAGAAACGAAGTCACTTATATGCGACACCAAAAAGCGTTCGGTCAAACGCTTCCAACGCCGCGAATATTTACACATCTTATCACGATTATTTACCTACTTCGCAATTTAGCTTACTCATTTAAGGCGATAATATTCGATGTTATGTATATATGCTATGACGGTCGTTCCATCATTTATGAATATTAATGTCGTATTTGCAATGATTTAGCGAAACTTCCCATCTACAGGCGTTACAATACAATCGTATTAAGTAGTTCAATTAAGTGATCGAAATAACAAATTTTATCGGAATAATACTTTTTTAAATTCTTATTAAGATAAGAATGATTTTAGTGAAGTATCTAAAATTTTGGAAATTTAAATAGATACAGATTCTGAAAATAATTTTGTTGAATTACGAAAATAATTAAGTAGGAAATTCATAGCATGATGAACAAAGTTGCACATTTTTTTTCTAGCAAAATATGTTAAAATAAAACATTTTTTTCATAATTCATCACCCGCTTTTTATAAGAACAAAGTAATATACAACAGATTTTTTTTTTTTGAGAGAATGACAATACAAGAATATAATTTATATTAGAAGCTTATATGATAATAAACGAAAAATAAAAAATAAAATAAATCATGATTTTAGAAATTAAAAAAATAAAAAAGATTAATCAAAAATATATATATAATTACATACGATAAATAAACTTAAAACAAGTAAGAATTTAGATAAAAGTTTATAAGCTAAAAGAGATTATATAAAAAATGTTAATTGCTATGACGTTAATTGGCCGGATATAAACTATATTTTTTTCGGATAAAAACTATGATTTGAAATCTACAGTCTATGTCACGTATACTATACATTTTCAGCACTGACAGTGAATTTTGGAATACCCTTGTTAGTAATCAGTATGAAATTTATTTTAAAATTCGCGCCGTGTCTGTGCAATCAATGACAATATTATTATCTTTAAAGAAACAATTTAATTAAGCTAAATAACGAGAACATTAACGTGAGGTCTACAACAGAAGTAGTGGTCGTAAAGTTTTAAATCGTAAAAAATGGACAAATCATAGTTGAATCGAATGTGAGAAGAATAATTGACTATTCTATCTGTATTCATAGTGGATTCTTATGGGCTTTCTACATAATCTAAGTTTTAAATCTTAAGCCGTAAGAAATTGCTCAATCACAGTCGAATGTGAGAAGAATAATTGTTTATGATTAATCGATTTCTTATGGCTTAAGAGTTAAAGCTAAGTTATGGCTTACTGTAGAAAGCCTATTACATTTGAGACTGGTGTCTTAAGTAGAGTCTTAAATAAAATACTTACAAAAATATATCAAAAATTGGATAAACTTTTGACGTTACATATGCAACGTATCGACACTTAACATGTTACATTAACTGTTGCGACGGACATAATGTAAAAAAGTATATATTGTATTTCGTGGCTGTGTTCCAAAATTCATTGTCAGCGCTGAAAATTTACGTCACGTCTATATCACGTATATTATACATTTTCAGCACTGACAGTGAATTTTGGAACACAGCCATTGTTAGTAATCAGTTTGAAATGCATTTTAAAATTCGCGCGCGTCTGCGCGATCAATACACAATCACTTATTGTCCACGTCTCGATTATCTCGAAAGAGTCGAAGTCTCGAATCGATCTCAAATCGAAGTAATCGGTAATCGTTTCTGTCAGCTCGTGTTCTTCGTAGCCACGTTTGTATATTTGTTCACGATGAACGCGTGGATGCAATACTTCAAATCCATTCCAACGCATATGGTAAGTAACGAAGTCTTTGAATAATCACGCTGAAATGAATATCAATCCACGATATGTCCAAGGCGAGTGCATTCCTTATTCGCGAGGTTAGGATTACCAAGGCACCATATGTCAATGCGATTGATACCGCGAAATAATTTATGTATTTACTTAAATAACATTGTAAATCTATAAATAAATTTGTTAGTTCTATGTTTATTAGTTACTTGTAAATTTGTATTCCATATATGCTATTTCCAAGCCCTATAAATTTATGTACTCTTATTATTTATGCTATTTGTTTTAGGATTATGATGGCCAAGCTAGAGCGGAGAAATTGTCGCGGGTCATAATAACGTTATTTGGGGTAAGCTACCATTTAAAAATGTTGAAAATATTTGAAATTATTATCATAGTTGAAATAATATAGAATTAGATTGATCAAATGAAAAGATGATTGCAGCTATTTCCAGCATGATATCAAAGTCTATTATGTACATTTGATGTTGGCTACATATGTAATGTTACATGTGTGTAATGTGCATGTGACATCATGTGTCCTCAAACAGGAGCCGTCCAGTTCACTCATTAAGTCAAAAAATAAAAATTCATTTCAAAAATTCATCTTACGAAGAACAACATGCAATGTGATATGATTTCTAATCACTGAAGACACCATGCCAATTGACTTCAATTTATTTCATTTTCTATAACACAATTTTCACCATACATGGCAATTATCTTATGACGAATGTCGATTAGAAGATATCACCGTATGTTTTTCATCAGACAATCCAGTCTAAATGCTTTCTATGCTTATCAAATGAATTGACAATAAAGCAACTGATTACTGATTATGCTCTTTACAACGCTTCCCAACGCTATTCAAAGATACGTTGTGCCCGTTTAACATTACATATGTAGTCAATATCAAATATGCATAATAGATTTTAATATCATGCTAGGAGTGATTGCTACAACGTTCTTTACTTTTTTAATCAAACTTATACATATTTTTTACAGGTAGTCGGCTTCATTTGGGGATATGCCATTCAACAATTCTCGCAAACAATCTATATTCTAAGTGCTGGATTTGTTATGGCAGCATTAATCACTGTTCCTCCATGGCCTATGTACCGTCGTAAACCATTGGACTGGCAAAAACCACAGTTTGAAGTTGTTCCAAAGCTCAAAAAGAAAAAATAATTGCCTGACATTTAACACCTCTAACAAAATCTAATATATTATGCAATCTTCAATATGAATTGATTGCTGATAGTGCATATGTACCACTGAGCATTTTCAGTTGCAATTATGAGATACAAATGTCCTTAATGTATGAATACAAGTGCGTATTAGAACAAGTATGAATGTGAAAGACTTTAGATTTCTTTTTTGTAAGATACACAAATATTGTACTTTAATGTGTGTTAGTTGTAAATGCGAATTACAAATAAAATAATATTTGCATAAAAATATATTTACGAAAAATATTTTTACGAATTTAAGTAATTTATAAATAATAAGATAAAAGAAAATTTTAAGAGCAATAAGATTTTCATGCCGGCCGAATTGATGATTTTGATGAAAGGAATAAAATAAATCAAGTAAATCTGTTATATACAGATAAATTGTATTGCATTAAAAATAATCCTGTTTTAATTATTCTCTATTATTATATTATGCAGTACTGTACATCCAATTCTTCTTCGTGTGCATTATATAATAAAATTTCAGCATTTATTAATTGTCATAATTAATAAATGCTGAAAACAGAAACGATTAAAGTCATTTGATTATTCAATAAGCTTGATACATATGTAAGCAATATATTTAAAAAATGAGATTTCTAGATATAATTAAATTTAATAAGCGGCTCGCTAATTTGGAAAAATTAATAATTTTCTCGAATAATTTCTTTCGAACGAGCATATTATCTCATCGCGTTATACATAAAACATTCATAATTACCATTTCGCATAATGTAAGTTCAAGAAAGTGTAAGGCAATAATATATAATCAAATAATTGCCCGATGTTACATCGCTTCAGTTTCACATTACAGGTTCTTACGTAAAGAAAAAAAAAGGAGGATATCCAAACGTAATCCTTATACACTTGCAACAATTTCACACGAGCGATAGCGTTTCCCTTCCGTAACGGAACTGTATTCTTATATAATCGTAACAGAAATGGCAATGGCCACGGATCACTTCTCGCAAATCATTAATCGATCAATTACGCGTCCTTCGCCATTGCAACACGCCGCGCCGTTATCTTGATCAGAGCCGTTGGGCGAGTTCCAACGTTTGACTTTCATCGATCACGCTTGTTTATTTTGTCCGATCGCCAACTATCTGACCATCATTTCCTTCAAAATCACCGCACCTACACTGACTTTCACAAATAGCGGTTTCGTGCAAAGACGATAATTGTCGCGGCTCAAAAAAGACTGGGATTTAGATATGATATAGTTAAATTATAATGTCCAAGGCTTTCTCTCCTTTCCTGCTTACACTACTTCTAAGTCAAATGAGTTTGTAAATTTATAAAAATTTAAGCTGTTATATTTCACAACTTATATTTCGAAAATGGCTTACGAATTTCGAGTCGATTTTTTTTTAATATTAAATATTTCAACTAACCTGTGCTGTTTCCATAGATTAAAATAAACGATCGGCTTCATAGGTAATAATAATCTTTGTGGCTGAGTCGATACATTATATTCGCTCGTATTTAAAATAAAATAGATATATCTATACAGGGAAAGAAAGTACGCATTACTTGTAACGCCGGCCGTTACTATTTATCGTTATTTTGTTGTAATAATAATTTAATAATTTCGTTGCAAATTTTTTATATAAGAACATTAGAATTGGAAAAGTCACTCGTTATTTGTAACGATACTTATAGCTTGTTGAAAACGGAATATATCCATCCTATGTATGTACATAAAATTTGGCGAAAGCGAGAAACAAAATTTTTAGTGCAGCCAAGATGGCACTAAATTTTGGGGTGCAACGACAAATAACAGGCTCAAATAAATTACTCACTCTTGGCTGTATCCAGCTGCATCACTGCTATCTAATCGATGCTCTCTCAATCTTCTCCCTCATCGTTCCATCGTTACTGCATCTTTCTGATACACGACGAGATCATGCGCTTCTTTTTCTTGATCTTCTTCAATAGAAAAGTCGACTCAGGTTAGCTTCAAACCCTCTAATCAAAGGGTGCTTTCCATTTGATGACACAAGTCGACACAAGTATCGTTCTATCTTTGTGAATCACTTTCTGAATGTCAAAGATGCATTCGGAGAGACGCTATTAGCGCTATTTGTGTCATTCTATCCTTGTTTTAACGTTTAAACAACGAAGATAGAATGATAATGTAGCGCATATAATAGCATCTCCCCGAATGCCACAAGAAGAATAAAACGACATTTATGTCGACTTATGTCATCCAATGGAAAGTACCCAATGAGAATCTAATCCTTTTTGCTTCTAGGAGACTCCTATGGAGGCTTACGCGGTCTCAAGTCTCATTACAAATATTTCAAAGCATTTAATTTACCAATTAGAAAAAAAGTTTACCATTTAAAAAATGCTTCAAAGCATCAGTAGCATTATGTTGAGGCTGACTGTACTCTTATTCAACTAATATCGAGCGAAAAATTATCACGAATGTAAATACGTGACATCATCGTGATGTCCGTGACGATCACGATGACGATCACGTACGCACTACTTTATCGAAGTTAGAAGTGACGATCGCGCGGCACTTCAGGCGGTACTCCCGAGGTCTCAGGTGTGTTCTGAAGTATGAAGCGCATGAAGGATAAAATGATACCACAGTATAGGGCGACACAGTGATCATGTCATCTTTGTTTAACATTGGCAAACAACAAGGATGTAATCCATTGTGTCACACCGTGTCATTTGTGTCGCTTGTTGGAAGACACACATAACTATACAGCACAGAAAGATTGCAAAAACATTGAAGAATGATTTCACTGAAACATTGCAATATTGCATGGTGGTTGCGAAACGTTGCTGAATCATTGTTACAAAATTCCAACAATGTTAAGGTGTCCGCTTTTTGTTATATTGCAACAAAACGTTCCAGCAATATTGCACTGTAATGTATTTGATAAATTTTTTACGAAAACTCTCTCTAAAATGAGAACTATTTCTATACATATATATATCACTAATTTTAATTTTTCTACAAATCGCATTTCTAGCGATATGTGCTTTCCAAAAGCAATTTTTTTATGGTAAAACCATAAAATATTCCAATAAATGTGATATTAATTCTGGAGGATAAATTTATTCGTAAGGATAAAACAGGTTTGTGTGAACAAACTACAAATATTATCCACATTAATAATACAGTCGCTTGGTAAATTAATCATGGATTAATCGCAGTGATTCTTTTTAATTTCAACCTCTGAATCAATTGAAATCAATTTAAAAATGACAGTATGAAATTTATTAATAAAGTTCGAATGCTGGTTTCTTGCGTCACATCAGGCATAAATACATCATCGATCACATAATTTATATTTCGATAAATTGTTTTCAATAACTTAATTGCTTATTGTCTTATCCGATAATGATGCATTGATTATATCCAAACTCGATATTATACAATCTTTTGATTTCATTTTTATATTTATTTAAAATAAATATAAAACTCAGCTAATAAAATAGCCGTCAAATAATAGATCAATACATTTTTTATTTAAATATAAAATGGATTATATTAATTATTATATCATAAAAACGACTGTTAAACTAAAAGACTACATAAATATTATAAAAACACTTATATTTTTATATTATTGTAACAATTAAAGAATTGCAGTTTTGCAATGTTTGTAGAATATTACAAGCATATTACTACTGATATTTTGTAGACATATTGTTAATTTAATACATTTCTATAATATCTCTGCAATATTATATTGCAGTCTGCAATATTGTAACATTGCAGCAATATTGCTTCAATCTTCTGTGTTGTATGGATAATCATACCCAGTAGCAACACTGAACGTCGGCACCTTTGATGTAAGTATTCTTAGATCACATGATTCACCGCTATGTTGTGAAGTATACACAGTAGAGTTAGATGATAGGAGAGGCTCTTAAATTTGAATTTCTATTAAGCTTCTAATACGTCCGCCATATTCCTAAGTGTACAAACCGATATATGCGCACACTAAAAATTGCACTAAAAAGTTCACTGTCGCTGGATATGATTATATTGTGATGATACCTCATGCGCTTCATGCGTAATTCGAAACTTACCCCCATTAGAATTGCGTTTTAAGATAGAAACTTGGCTCGCGGTTTGGAGAATTTGACGTATATATGTATATAAATTCATTTTATATATTATCATACGCATCAAGACAAGGATCAAAATTTCTTTTGTTTCAAAATAATAAGTTATCTTAAATTTAATAATAAATATACTAATTACAGAGGCCAACTGTTTATTGCAACTGTTAATTAATACTGATTTGCTTATTCAAGAACTACTTTTTATGAATACTATTTATTTACTATCGTAATTGTGCTATTTTTGTATTAAAATTTTTGATTCCAAAATACGTACATTATTAAAATGTGTAATAATTATAAGATACTTTTTTATGAAAATATAAATATTAATTTATTAGAATGTTTTGAAAAAATAATCTTGTAAAATAAAAATTTAATGGACCAATTAATTGTTTTGCATCATAATAGTATTATTCATTTTCAGATACAATATTATATCACAAAAAATCCCTATTAGATTATGTATTGTGTCATGTTCTTCGAAGCACATTACCGGTCAAGACGCAAAAAGAACTCGCATTAACGCGCGCACATAGCGAGGTAAAAATCGCTCGGCGTTACTTCTTACACAATTGGAAGATATACCAGATCCACACTGCTAATAGCAAATTTCTAAAACCATTTCGAGACAAAAATTCTAATATCTCAAATGTCGGGACTATAATAGTACTTGAATTATAAGCATTTAGAATTAGCCAATGATATCGCTTAAAGTTGATGTATTTAGATGTGGTTAATATTTCGCAACAAAATATCAATCACAACTAAACGAGGTATTTAAATAGACATAATTCGCAAATTCTAAATGCTTATTAATTTTGATGCAGTAGGTCTGGGACATCCATATTGATGAATTCATCGGAACGAATAATCGCTCAATCATATTTTTATATTTATGTTTATTTTTTTTTTCCTATTCGACTTTTTTTCGACCGAGCGGCTACCTGCTTCGTATTGAGATACCCAAAGGCGAATGTGTAAGAGGTTACGAAACGCTTTCTCCTTGTATGATGAATATTTTAAGTATGCAGCTTGCACCACTTCCTGTTACACCGATTGGGTCTGCCGATATGCTATCGAAAAAAAAAAAAGAAAAGAGCATAATTGCAGTGGAGCGTGT